TATTTATATTTCACTTATTTGCTATGAAGACAATGAAGTCAAGCATCACGAAACAGGGTTGAATTTTCGTGGTTCCACTGTATGTGGCAGTGCAGGTAAAACACCATTTGATCATCGACCTTGGTGTAAACACCAGAGCAGTGAAGTCAATGAAAAAAATCTCACAGCAGAGCCAGTCTATCTTTAGCCATAAGTTTCCCGGAGCGAGGAATGCACTCAAACTTGTGCTCTCATGCTTGTGAAGCCATGTCATGGAACGTCTCTACCACACCACCACAATCAGTCCTGTCCGAAAATATCGTCCCCATTGGCCTTTCCCATACTTCTGAGCGCTTCATGTTATTTTACCTTGGCCTTCTTCGCAGCGGGTTCGTACGTGGATTGTTCTGTGCGGTTTGGGACGTGGGAAAGAAGGATGGAGTGGGCGTTTGTACCAATCATGTCAACAGGGATGAGGAAATGCAATCATACAAACAAACACACACATGCGTATGAATGCGAGCCAGCATAGATTTGAGGCTAATTTATCAATGTTTTTTTTTGTTGTTTTTTTCCAAGTTGAGAGGGTCACGGAGCTGGACATGGGAATAGTTTACATAATGTCAAAAGTCAAGGTGTTTACATTTGTATGTGTTTGTGTGTGTGGAGGGAGTTTGGGGGGCATCGAGAGAAAAAAAGTGAAACTTGGAAGAAAAGGATAGTTGGTGATCATTACAGGGTGTAGGACAGTGCCTCTCACCCACAGTCGTCTGAGATAGGCTGCAGCTCACGCCCGACCCTAATGAGGATAAGCGACAGAAAAAAATAGAGGGGTTGATTTATAATTTAAAGTGGAACACAGCGGAAATTTCTTTCAGGGAAGATATGGCCCAAACAACTGAAAAAGAACCAGATCATAATCCTGATCCCTTCAATCCCCGAGCCCCTTTGTGTGTTGTTCTTAATCTTTTTTTTTTTTGTGACTGTAAACATAGCATCCCCATAAAACGGCTTCTTTTTCTTCAAGTGTTTGGTAGCAAGCAACAACAGTATCCTCCCACCTCAACTTCTGTTTCTCCGACAGTATCGCACAAGGGGTGCTCAAATTTTGGGGGTCCAGTAACCCCTCAAAGGGGTCATTCCAAGGACTCCCTCATAATCCCACCACCAATTAAACATAACAACCATCTGTACTCTTCAATGCCAGAATAAAAAACTTGCCCTCATTTCCAGGAAAAAAAAAAGTCAATGTTACTAACATTAAAATCAGAATCATCTTTTTTGTTGGTGGTTTACTGAGGTCCGTTACATGACACAAGTGGAACTGGGAGTCGCGGCTTGGAATTGAAGCGGATTTACATGGGACTGGAGAAGAGAGCCAATCTCTTTTTCGTTAATGGATGCTACAGCTTCTTGTTGCTTTCAAGCTTAGATTGTAGCAGACGTGTGCACATTGCAGCATGACGTCTTTTATCCACTGGTGAAAGGACACTTTGATTTACTCCTCTTTCATCTATGACTGCTTATAACAACAAAGTGAATGGAGGAAAAGTGGTTAAGATAGCACGACTGTCTGTTTTATGTGTTGTGTTGTATTATTTTGTCATTTTATGTTAAGTGTTGTTTTGATGGCGGCGCGGGCACCCGTAGCGGCTCCTCTTGTTGTCTGTCGTCTGTTTAAGAGGGAGGAAATAGCACATTTGACAATAAAGTTGCACTTGACTTGACTTGACAAGAGGTGACAAACAATATTGTACCAGCGAAACCCTCAATTCAGTGTTATGGCACCACAGATTGTCCGGGTGTCGTAACAGTTGTGACCACCCGTGCCCCTCCTGCCTCCTGGAAGACAGACCGGAGTCTGGCGGGCTGAGAAGCGAGCCAACATCAGCACGAGCTGATCTCCACGGCAGGTGGTTTGTTGAAACCCAATATGGAGTCCGATTTGCGTCAGAAACCAGAGAAGGAACCCGCTTGCCTCCTTCCTTTCTCTGCTGGTGTGTGGTCCGCTCTGATCGTCACCACTTTATTTACATTCTTTACATCCTCGCTCCTCTCCGCCTTTAGGAAATGGTTTATCCTGTTGGCACGTTGAATTGGCACTGACGGCATTCAGGTCGAGAGTCCTGGAGATCTTGGCATGCGTGCGTACGTAAAGTTTCTGTCAGTTCGTCGTGACAAGCGGACTCCGTTTTTGCAGAGGAATCATGAGAATGCGAAGTTTACTGCGCGTCGGTCCGTCCATGCGTGTGCTGCATCTGCTTCTGTCCATCACTTTCTGTCATTGCACCGGGAAATAAATGTCACCTGAACTACACACCGCATTAACGTCCTACTTGTTAGTCACATCTCATTTCGAAGCTTGGATTATGGTCCGCCTCTGCCATCTTGATCCTAAATCTTCCAACGCATGTAAATCCATCCATTGTTTTCTATACCGCTTATCCGGTTCAGTCTCACGTGGAAGTTGGAGCCTATCCCAGCGGACCCCACCCCACACAAAACGGCAGTAACTCATAGGACTTGGACTTTCTCCCTCGCCAGCTGCACGAACATCAGCTATTTGAACTATTGCAACAGCAACGGCCCAAATGCAAATCCTTATCGCTCTCTTTATGCTAGGTTCAGACCGACTGCCGTACTTCTCGCAGTTTGCACTTTTTCCCCTGGTTGTCATGGTGGTGTCGGCACACGCGGCAATAATAGAGTGCGATGGATCCAGCAGTGGCCCATTTGTATACGACAATTGCTAAGACACCTGGGAACTGTTTTCACTAGTGGAAAAAAAAATGGCATAATACTTCTGAAATGAAATCGTACGGCAAATTTTGAATAGTACTGCAAATAGTGCTGAGTGAATCCCATCAGTCTGCACCATGAGAGTCCAGTTACCAGATGCTATTTGTGAATATGATGATCGGCTAAGTCCTCTCATCTCCAATTGAGTTGCTGAGTCTAAACAACAACAAACGTGGTTGTCAAGGATGGAAGCCCCTCCAACCTCACTCCAAACCACAAGCGTCTGTCGCGCAAGCCAAAGATACCACTGAGTGACAGATAAAACTGCATGAATGATGGACGTTTATTTACTGTGCCGCTAGATGACGACTACATTTTAGAGCCCGAACATTGAAAACATGAAGAGGTTTCAAAATAGAAGTTTTGGTAAAGGCTGACACTGTCATTTTTTTTGCAGTATCAAAAATGTACAACGGTGTATGCACCAATGACGGGCTTTGGGGCTACAAACAGTTGATGCGCGTGTGTGTAGTATTTCTTTCAGAAGTGAAATTGGCAACTTCTGGCCTAGCATGCATATTACAGTGTGACTTGGTTTGATCTTCATGAGCAGTGAATCATTTTAATAGCATTGTGTCTGTCGGTTAAACTTTTGAAAACGACAAAGAAATATGCTGTTCATGTGTGCTCATTGTCTGGAAATGTATGGCTTGAACTCTCAAACTAAGACTTTTGTGTTATGTAGACATTGAGAGCTCTGAAAAAAAAACATGTATTTTTATCACATTACAGAATATGTGGGCAACCAAATGGAGCAGTTGGTGGGTTCTGTAGTGTGTGTGTGTGTGTGTGTGTGTGTGTTTTAAAATGCCCTGGGGTGCGTCACAAAGCTTTAATGTGATTGATGAATGTATGACAAGGACTTTAGTGTCTATGATTTCAAGACTTTCCCATAACATTCTTGGGAGCCATTATGCCAAGTGGGGAGGACCGAAACTAAGTGGGGACTACTGTTGTGGCAGTAGATCTTCGTGGGATGGAGTGGGGGACATCGCTATGGTTGTCTGTTGTTATCAAGTTTTGTTGCTAGTAAAATTGGCGATGATGGTGGGAGGTTGTTCACATTTGATTTGCTTTAATTGCCTTAAAGTGTTCAGGATCAACTTGATGTGATGGTCAAACTTTCCATCGAGCATTGTTTAGCATGTTATGATAATAGTTGGTATGTGTTTTTCATAAGAACAAAATGGCACTCTACAATATTTACTTGATACAACATCCATCCACCCATCCATCCATTTTCTGATCCGCTTTACTCTCACAAGGGTCGCGGGGCAAGCTAGAGCCTATCCCAGAACATCTTCGAACAGTAGGCAGGGGACACCCTGAACCGGGACAATTTAGAGTGTTCAATCAGCCTGCCATGCATGTTTTTGGAATGTGGGAGGAAACCGGAGCACCCGGAGAAAACCCACACAGGCACGGGGAGAACATGCAAACCCCTCACAGGAAGGCTGGAGCCCGACTCGAACCCTGCACCTCTGCATTGTGAAGCGACTGTGCTAACCAGTCCACTGAGGTGCCGCCCACATTTCCACCCCTTCTCCTGATATCGCAAGGGCGCCACCTATGGATCTATGAAATAAAGGCCCATGAACTCTTTATCTTTGCATGCTCATCCGTTAACATCCAAATTTTTTCCTTCCTTACATTACATGTACACCGAGGTAGTGATTTCCCATGCTCGCCTTTTCTCTGTCTCATGTCCTGATGTGAGGGGCTTCTATTCCTGGCGCAAGTTGGGTCAACGTGCTGTCATACTGCAGTGTCATGTAAGCAAACAAGCTTGATAGGCCATTGTTATTCTTAGATGTGACAGGACTCGAAACATGTCGCAGAGCCCCGTGCCTGGTGCCAAGTTGAAGTGACGTGCATAGTGCATTGGAATAAAGATCCTGCAGTTATTTGGAAGAGTGGAAGAAGAGGGGAAGAATTTGACTGCCTTATGCGTCGTCCCATGTAATCAACAATGTAAATACAATGTAAATATTCATATACAACGGCACCTTTGATTAAACAGATTAAACGCCTCGGCGGCCGAAAGAACGGTTTCCGTTCACACACCATGGAATGCATGCAGTGGGCGAGTGAGTTAAGATTGTGGGGATGCTGGTGTGGCTTGTGCTTTTTGCCGACATATCAAGAAAAGGTTGAAAGAAATTACAGTTTTAAAAATATATATTAACACACAGTATGGAAATCAGCTTAATAAGAGTAACGCACTCTCGGGGAACTTTAGCTCCTGTGGCAATATCTGTCTTGGCGTGTCTGTGGTGTATGTACAGTATGTGTGTGTGTGTGTGTGTGTGTGTGTGTGTGTGTGTGTGTGTGTGTGTGTGTGTGTGTGTGCGGTTGCCAAAAACCTCCCGTTGCATGCCGACACGATTCAAAATCATGAATCATGAATGTTTGTTAATCTGCATATTTACCCATATAATTACCAAGAGTCTGTGTGTGGAATATTTTGTCCATGATAAAAATCATGTTCATGCAAAGTTTAAGTTTTCAGTGCAGGGATATGTTTGGAGTTGGATGGACACCAAGTTAGGCAAGAGTTATACTCCATAACTTATCGAAAAGTGTGTGTTGGAATGCCAGCTAATGTTCAGGCATGTCGGTGGCGACCATCTTTGTTTTGGGCGGGCTGCCAACGGCGAGAAAGGGATTTGCCATCTGACTGGTGCAATGCAGCCTTCATGGCGTGTAACTCCAAACTGATTGAAACCTTTGAACAAGGGCATGCCACGTCTCATCTCATCAAGTGGGCCTGTCTGGCACGCGGTATGTCTTAAGCCTAGAAATGCAGAAACTACTGCTACAGATGCTGAACTTCAGTAAGTCGAACTTCATATTCTGTAAGAGTTTGAACAAATGTCAAAGAAGGTCGATCGTCCAAAACTATTTCAACAACCTTGTTGAAGGTCAGTATGCTTAACAGATAATCTTTACACTGAAACCTTGCATTTGTGTGGACAGGACCTTGGAGGGTCCGCCAACGTGAAAGCTCATCCTTTTTATTCACATGCGGCGGCACCAGGTCATTCTTGTACCTCCAGTAATCAATTTTTCTCAACACTTGATGAAATGAAAGCAGAGGAAAAAGCTTTTCTTCTTGACTCCCAAAAGTTTTCCAACTCGTAGTACAGTCCTGTTTAGTTTGATCCACATTTTATTTCCATTATCATTGTCACGAGTGCCCAAATTAGCAACTTGTTCAGTTCAGTGCAACACTCGTCTGGCATTTTCGGCTTCAATGGAAACTCACGGATCAATTGCGGTCATCTTGTGGCCACATCAAATTTTTGTCTCTGCATCCAATATGTGTGAAAATTAGTTTGCTGGCAAGGAAAGAAACATCCTCTCAAGTGGAAGCTCAACGTTTTTCTGTCATACTGATTTAGGACTATGATCGCCGACTGCTCCCTCCCCATTGGATAGAATCGATTTGCGGCCTTGTGTAATGCCAGCTTCTCCTCACTCTATGCGCTGTACATAAAGTACGAGTGACATTTAACGCACACGGTCTCCCCTGAATAGGCATTGGGTAGTGAGCTGTATCAGGTGGAGGAAGTGAGGCGAATGTCTTGCTCGGGGTGAGTCAGCATTGCGCTTCCATGGCTAATGGGTAGGAAATGTCCACCTAGGAGATTCTAATTGCATCTCTTCCCCATCCGGCTCCATTAGGCCCTAAATGGCAACAACACACAGCAGAGCGACAGGCAGGTGGGGCTGTCCATAATGGAGATACTCTTAAAGGAGAAGGGCGTACTGTAGTAGTGTTCGATGTTTAAGTCGCTCTGTAACAAGACGAGGCATTACATAACTAAAAACAGCATGAGTAAATGTGTGCACGGTAGACTGTCTGCACGTTGCTTTTTAGTCACCGGATTTTGCTCATGTTTAAAACGTAGAAATGATTTGTTTACTTTTTCATTCTGTGACAGCATTTTTTAAAATTTGATTGGCTCTTCTGTATTTGCGGCACTTTTGGCTGCCAGTCATGAAAACTAGATGGTGAACACTGAACGCTGCACACGAGTTCAGACAGATTTGGCCGTGCCACTCCCCTGCAGCTAGCAAGATTTAGAGCTAAGAAGCTTTGTTATGTCAATATACCAAACATACGTTTCTTTAATTTTGGTACTAAGTTGGATTCATGTTAAATTCGGTAAGTACCGGTACTATATAAATGTAGCTTTTCCTCAGTGAAGGCTACATTTCGCTTGAGCTTGTTTTTTTTCCGTCCCTGTCACCATGACACCATGAAACCTGGTTACTAGCTTGTTTGAACTCCATTGTCCTTGATGGAGGCCCGTGTCTCTCTCATTGCTTTTCCCAAGAGCTAATCTTTGGACGAAAACCTTGCTCCAAACTCACAGCTAGAAGTTACCAAACACACAGGAGGCCGCCTGGGTTTCACATGTAAACACGAGATGAAATGGCAGCATGTGAGCATTTTATTACGTTCAGGGTCACTTTGAGGCCACTTCCAAAAGTGGAAGAGAGTCCTTGAGATTAAGATCAATGCAATGCAATACTTGATCAATGACAAAAAGTTATGTCATACACTCAATGTACAGTATTTATTACCTCCAACCAAAGCCATAAATGACGGGCCAAACCATTATTTATGAGGCTATTCACCACATGAAAACATACATTCTCACTCCCGGTTTTAATATCTAACTAATTTCTAATTCTGATGCCAATGGAATTTTTTTTTAGCATTAAACTCCAGGAGTTTCTGATACATGACATAACTTCACAATCTGGTAGACACAGAGACAAAGACTGAGAGAATTATTCATTTTGCGATCTGGGGATTATTTTATATTGTGGAAAAAAAAAATAAATAGAAAAATTATTTCAAGAAAAAACAAAAACAAAGTGTCAAAATGCCTAGAAATTTCTTTTAATATTACCAGAACTATACTATATTAGTATAATCATAATACTGTTTTCTGCTTGATTAAAAAAAATTATATTACAAGGAAATATAAAATAGAATGCGATACGCACAATGTCCTAAAACCATGAGTGAGAAAAAAAATAACTTTACCAGCTTTAATTAGTTTTTTCAGAAATTGTCATAAAAATTTCTGTGAGCTAATCCCAGCTGTCTTCGGACAGTAGGCGGGGGACGCCCTGCACTGATTGCCAGCCAATCGCAGGGCACACATAGACCAACCACCATCCACGCTCGCATTCACACCAAGAGACAATTTAGAGTGTTGAACATGATTTTTTTTCTCCTATTTATAGAATAAAAAATAAGAACGTAGATTTCTCCTATTACATACTGCAGACATTCATAGCCGTTGCCATGAAGCTCAAAATTGAGCTCAGGTACATCCTGTTCCCACTGATCAGGCATTGTACTGAGGTCTTGTGATACAATGTGTTTAAAAAAAAAAAAAAAAATGGAAGTGTTTGTGCTGCACATTTGAAGGATGCGTCACATCAGGAGAGCTCAGAAGGGGAAAACCGGTTGTCCTGTCGAGGCAATCGAGGAGGAAACAGTGGGGGCACTGTACCGCCTGTAAAATGCGTCTTTCTTCCTGCCAGAGGGTGACATAGTGGAATGCAGCACATCAATATGGACATGGGTGGGCGGGTGCCTCATTCTTGTCATAGCGTCTCTTCTTTGCGTTTACATCGCTGTGGCGTTTTGATGCACATGCGCTTCGCCGGATTTCGCCGACGAGAATAACAATTCTGTGATTATCGCTGCTCCACCTTTTTCAACAATAACTTTTCACGTCCCCATTTAAGAAAAAAATGATGAAATAAAATAAAATGGTGACGCGGGCCGTGCCAAATGTTATTTTGAATACATGCTGTGGGATGCACTAAAGAAAGGAAGGCTTTAATTCACTGCCTCGTAAAATTGCTATTTAAAGTCTTCTCCTCTTTCTCTGTCAGCATGGGCGGTGGTGGAGGTGAGCATGGAGGACAGGGTGGAGGTTTTGAAAGGAGAGACAGCTCAGATCACCTGCATGTTCACCTCCGATGACGGCTTCGGGGCTTTGACCATCCAATGGTTCTATGTGAGTTTCCTGACCTCACACATTAAGACAAATATATGCAATAATTGCGCGATAACGCATGCGTGATCGGCACCGATTCCCATCTCCAGGTTTCGAAAACGGGGGAGAAGCACAGCATCTACTATCAGGACGCGACTACGCAGATGGTGGAACGAAGCACGTCGTTCACGGATCGCATCATGGTCAACGTCACGGTGGCCACCAGAGAGGTGGTGTTGACCATCACAGACGTGCAGATCAAAGACCAGCTCGAGTTCATCTGTCTCGTCAAGAGTCTGACCGATGGCGTCTCCGAGGGACGCACCAAATTATTAGTGTTCGGTAAGCCACAAGATGGCGCCGTGGTGAATCGTGGGGATGAATGATTTTGAAAACTAATCGGATTGCATTTTTTCCCCTTCAATATCGCGATTGTATGGAGCGCCTAAGGGGACATGGAAGAAAAAAAAAAACGTTGCGTTCCCTTGCAAAGTTTCATTGAATTTTACTTTAATAATCGCCTTTAAATACAAAGACATTAAATCTGTTCTTGATTCCCCTCCATGATTCTCTCCTTTCCGAAGTACAGTAGTGTCATCTCTCAGAGGCAGGAGCGTTGAAAAATGACGGAGTCATCAAGAAAAGATTTGCATTGGAAAATGCTTATCGGTTTCTTGGGAAGACAGAAAAAAAAAAAAAAAAAAAAAAAAAAAAAATTGCGCTGTATCGCATTCTCTGCAAGAGAATGCAAAACTTTGCAAGGGAACGCAAAACTTTGCGAGGGAATGCAAATTTTTTTTTTTCTTCCATGTCCCCCTTAGGGGCTCCGTACGATTGTGATGTAATATGCAACTTTTTTTTCTAGGCTCTTCTTCCCATGTAACTTTTTTTTTAACAAACAAAATCCATAAATTAATATCTATTACATTAAACAATATCAGATTTGTTTCCTATAAATGTTTTTAGTTTAAAACTTTCGTCTTTTTGCTGAAGTAAAGAAAAATGAAGGATGAACTAATATTAGAGTTTATTTATCCACTTTGACTTGTAGTCTTTCAAGAGTTCACAATGCCAACTTCATATAATTCTACCACACACGTGGAACCGAGAGTTTAACAAGAAGTGTAACCAGTCACAACATGGCCGAAACCCCAACAGATAAATGAACATGAAGTTGAATTTAGCTCTTTATGAATCGACATTATTTTCCAAGCGTTGCCAAGTGCAGTTGTTCAGTTCTTGATTGAGTTGCTACATTGCACAGAAAGACCAGACTCCCCAACCATTGAGGGCGTTCAGACGGGCATCTATGTCTATGAAACCACACCGTCCAAGGTACGCAAACTGTCATTTCCTATCCTATACGATGACATTGAAATCATCATAATTGATTTCATTTGTACTTTTTCCAGATTGGCTCATGCGAGGTCAAAAATGGCTTCCCCAAGCCAAACATTACATGGTATCGAAATAACGCGCCAATACAAGGAGATAGTGACGGTGAGACAAGTGATGAATGTGATTAACGGCTATCTCAGCTCAGTTACACCAGTTTACGTTCTGTGTGTGTGTGTGTGTGTGTGTGTGTGTGTGTGTGTGTGTGTGTGTGTGTGTGTGTGTGTGTGTGTGTGTGTTGCAGAGGTGAAGATCATGCCCAGCACCACCATTGAGTCTAGCGGTCTTTTTTCTGTGAGGAGTGAACTGAGCCTGAAGGTGATGAAGGAGGACAAAGACGCTCAGTTCTACTGCAAGGTCACCTACCTCGTTCCCGGAGGAACCAGAATGACTGAGACCAACCGCATTAACATCACCGTGTACTGTGAGCCTCACGCTACAGCTCGAACATGAGTTATCTAGTCTTTACGCACAGAAATGTGATGTCTAAAGTGCATGTGGTACAGTCATATATCACCTTGTTCTGTGCCGTATTTTGACTTCTGCCAATCTGGATTGGATTCAAATTAAACCTAGTTTAAAATGACCATGCAAATACAATGTTGTCTAAATCAGAAACAATTTGAGGTTTTCCGAAAATGAGACTTCATCTCTGAACCCGTCACTGCATTGTGTTTCAGACCCGTCCACTGCTGTCAACGTGTGGGTGGAGTCACCGAAAGGCAAAATTAAAGAGGGAGATTCAATTATGTTTCATTGCTATGGCAACGGTAATACACCATCTTCAGTCTATATCATCAAGCACGGAGAAGTAAGCAACTTTTTACTCTTAACAGGTGCCTTGAGATACACGTGACGCAACCTTTTTTGCGATTGAACAACTTTCCCTTTGACTTGCGAGCGCAAACTTCAGATGTGAGCGCTGTACGTGGCTGGCGACTCAACTCACTGCACGACAAAAAGAGTGGTGAAGCTGTTTATCGCCACTCCCAGCTTAAGGTTACGTTCAAACTAAACATGGAACAAAGAGATTTTGTGTATTTAAAGAAACACCTGACACCTGAATGCCAGCATACAATAGGAGACTCCATCGGCACACGGGCACATCTACGTAGCGTTGTTGTTTAGCAACGGATATCTGAACACAAGCAGTGTAACACATGTAGACGCACTATACAACATTACTGGAGGGCCAATATTCTTTAAGAACGGCCAATATTACTGTTGTACTGAAAAGCAGGAAGAGGAGCTGAGCCTTGAGTACAGTCTGTCTGTATTTCAGTCTAATACTGCCCCCAGGTGGCCAAGATTTGAAGCTGCAGATTTTCATGCCAACCACTTCACATCCGCTTGCGAAATAGAATTACAAACTGTACGAAAACAAATACACAAATTAGCGAGATTGCAAACCTGAAACTCGAAATGGAGGGGGGTTAACTGTATCTCAAGGCACTATTGTAAGCTACTCTCTTAAGTTGTTCAGCAGATACAGGAAGCACTCTCATTTACATGTTTTTCCATTTGCTTTTTATAGAAAGAATATGCGGTGGAATCCAACACGCTTATACTGGAAAACGTGACCCGTCTCCAGAATGGCTATTATGAATGCAACTCAATGGACATGGAAACCTATGAGGAGCTCTCAGGGAATACAACTGTGTTTGTTCATTGTATGTCTCCCGCACATCATGTCACTTTGCTTGACCACATTTGACCACTCTTAAACGTTTGCCCCTCTGCTCGCCTGTCGTGTGTGCAGACTTGGAGCCTGCCGTGGTGCTGCCCACCAACATAGAGATCGCTCAAGGCGAGGAGTTGACAGCCACCTGCAATGCCCTATCTTCTCTACAGACGCACACAGCCTGGTTCAAGGTCTCGCAGATGCACATATTTGTCATTTTCCTATCAGTTTAAAGGATTTTGGTGGCGGTTGAGTTCACTCACGTTGGTCCCACATTTCTTGCTAAAAATGATGAAGAGATGCTTTTTTTAATTTTTTTTTTTTTTTTAAACATGATGCAGTTCCCCAAGGATCAAAATGTCAAACAGTAAATCAGTTCATTTTTAGGGACATGCAGGTTGGCCAGCCCTCATTTAACACCACACACTGCTGGGCCAGTGGCATGGACCGTTTTCATTAGCAAAACGACTAGCAGGTGCCGCTAGGGATGGCTGCACTTTGAATTCCGAATCTCAAAAAGCGCTAAGTACGTGTGAGATTCTAACAGACAGCAAGAACTCTCTTTTCCCTTGTGAAGGCATGAGCATTTTAAAATTACTGTGCAGACAGAAGCCCGTTTAACTTACAACCGACAAAGCAAAATGCCAAAGATGGGCAAACAGATAGCAGTGGGTTTTATGAACACGAATGGTAGCGCAACACACATAGACAGGTAACACGACAATACTCAGATATATATTATTTATCATCTGCGAAAAATGACTAATATGACAACACTTAACTGAGGAGCTGTGACCGTCTTCTTATATATCTGTATTAAACTGCCTCGACGTGGCCAAGGCGTCCGCACCAGAAGGAGCAGCACAATGTCCATTGAACTGAAACAATTAAAATGTGTGGCAATATGTCATTACTGTATGTTTTTACAAAGAACATGATAAAGTACAAATATTTTTTGTCAATTTTGTCAGTGTAGCTTGGACATGGCAACTTGTACCACTGTGTGTTGTCCACTAAAAGCAATTGTATTTTTTGCTGCGTACTTGTTTTATATACAGTATATACTGCTACTACTACTAATGATGATAATAATAATAATATTCAACCAATAGTGTTTCCTTGTCGCCGATGATTATGAACTTGACTTTTCGTGCTTTTAGAATGGACGACTGGTGTCATTTGGTCACACTTTAATAGTGAAGGATGTCACCTTCGACACAGCAGGGGCATACACGTGTGTGGTAACTGTTCCTGAAATTGACGGCATGGAAGAAATGGAAACTCTTCGAGTCACTGTAAAAGGTCAGTCCGTTTGTTACCTCCATCAAGGAAGTTCATTAGTCTACAATTGTTTTGAATGCTACTTCAATCTAGATATTGAGACAATGTTAGGGGGGGGTGTTATAATACAGTAAATCAGTAATCATAATGTTGATGCGTGCACAGCATATCCTTTAGCAAATATATTATTTGAGAACTGAATTATGTTGCTGAATAAATAACAGTATGTGTTCTTAGAATACTTTGGCAAGTTTTATAGTACTCTAGTTTGTAACTTGCAAATTTTCAATGTTCAGGCGCACCACAGATTATGAAACCAGAACACACAGACCTCGAGGAGAGTGTGGCTAACACAGTGGAACTGACCTGCCATGTGCGAGGGTTCCCATCTCCCCAAATTATTTGGACCACCGCTGACGGAAAGGTACCACTGACCGTTTATATCCTGCACACATTTTTAGAATGTATTACAACAGCAGGATTTCTCCCAACTCATCAGGGTATGTTTCATTCCGGAATTGGAGGAGAAGTTGTCATATTCATTATCAACATTCATATTATCGGGGAAATACATTTTATATAGTTTTTTTTTTTTTTAAATTATATCGCAAAATTTGTTCTCAAGCCGTTTGCGTAGTGGCCAACACAGCTAGCATGGATGAAAAATTCCAATATTACCATTGATAAATTAGTGTTCAAAAAAACTTACTTCATTTATTTAATTGTAAACGATTTATTCTGAAATATTTGTTGAAATGAGTTTTTTTTCCAAGTGGCTAAGTATTACAAATTAATGATATGACAAAATATCATTCAAAAATTAATGTACTGTTAATGGTTGCGCTGACAAAACAAATGGTCCTTTAAAAAAAAAAAAAAAAAAAGATTCTTGCCTAAATTCTGCCTCAATTCAAGGAATATGTTGACTGATGGACTGGTGGCAATTGATTGCTGTGTCACTCCAGATCTTGGAGACCACGTCCCAAAACGAGATGGAGGACGGCGTCCACAGCATGGTGAGCATGGAGGTCACATCTGACCTCACCGCCTTCTGCAATGCCTCCAACGAGTATGGCGCCGACGCGCTGGCCTTCAACATCAAAGCAAGTGAGTTCCTGCCTGTACTTTGGGGTTTTTTTCCACATTAGGGTCGAGCATCTTGACATCACTGTGGCTGATGTCATGCCTTCACGATATATTGCTTCTCCAATCCATGATGATGGGATAACATACAATGCAATGTGGTTTCTTCTGATTCTCATAATAATTTAATGATGGGATAACATACAATGCAATGTGGTTTCTTCGGATTCTCTCCGATGACACAATAACATTCACTCTGATTCTGATATGACTTGATCCAATTACAACGCACTGTCCTACGACAGACTGGTTACAAAGCAATGTGATAGGATTTCAATAATAATAATCATAATAATTTCATTGCATTTCATGGTATTCCATGAAATGCAATTACTACGATCAACGATACAATTCACGATACTGATTGCAATCAAATCTGAGACAGTAGGATTCACTCCAATTACATCCAGTTTGATTCAATCAAATTATGATGTAACAACTTCTGAGTCACTACATACAATATACAGCCAATAAAGGTGAGATACAATACGATTTACCCGAGTTATGCCGCTATGAGATACAATGTACCAGTACTCCAATTACAATGTGGTGCCATACACTTCGCTCCAATTGTATGCCGCAACAGGATTCACTTTTCACTTATTCAATTATGTTACATTATAAACAAAACTGATCTGAATTGAGTATGATATGATTCACTCCATCACAATGCAATACCATTTATTTAACTCGACTCACTCCAGTTACATTGCCATACGATCCAATGACTTCCGATCATTCCGAAGCACCAACAACAGATTCACTCCAATTACAATGCCCTACATTTGACATATAGCAACTGACACAACTCGGAATGTTGCAGTCTGAGGGAATGCAAGAATACATCTCTCCATTCCAGTAAGAAGCTACAAACAACTTGCTCTTCTATTTTGTGTTCTGCCTTGGTCTACTTTTATAACACCTCCTGTATTCCACAATGACAAAAGGAAAAAAGTGCACCGCCGTCTTGCTCTCACAGGGCAGGTTTGCGCACATTATCGCTCTTGATGAATCCAAAATACAGTGATCCCTCGCTATTTCGTGGTTCGTTTATCGCGGCTTCAGTGCATCGCGGATTGTATATGTTGCTCTATGTGACTCGCTGTTGTGACCGTTTGCGGACTTAAAAAATAAATTAAAAAAAATATGTATTTTTTTTTTTTTTTTTTTACCTGTATATGTTTATTGGTCACTACTTCACGGCTTTTCGTTTATCGGGGGTGGTTTTGGTCCCCATTAACCGCAATAAACGAGGGATTACTGTAAAGCCACACTCCTCAGGATATGTCGATCTAATTCCTCCATGGCGTTCTCCGTTTACACTCGTAATAGCACCACATTTTGCTGAGACTTGCTTGGGACTTGCTTGAGCCTTGAGCCCCCTCCCACCACCCCACCCCAACTTCACCCCTCCTGGTTCCTGTGGTCTGTGTCACATCCGTTATTTGTGTTTAGGCTGTGCTAACGTGTTGATTGTGTGTAACTGTAGTTGTGTCCTCCTCCTCTTCCTCCCCCCTGTGGGTTAACATGTTGTGACCTACCCCCCTTGTGTGCCTCTGACCTTATTTCAGTTGTATACACCACAGCAGCAGCAACTACCACTAGCACAAGCACCAATCGCACAAGCACTCTTTCGTCTTCCACAGGTAAGGCCATAGTTGCTCTGCTACCCTACCCTTGGTCTTTATGGTGATATTTGCAGAGTTACGTCATGTTTTGGTTTAAGTGGTGCTTAGTGTAAAAAGTTGGACAATCAATGACATGGATTGACGGCTAACATACCAGAAAAAAAGAAAAATATTATTTACAGTGGGTTAAATAAACAATTGGTGTTTTCTTATAACTGACATCAATGGGAAAAAATGCTAATTAGCAGAGGATTGGAAAAAACATGTTTCACAAATAATGTAAGGGTTCATTCCGATGACGGAGTCCTACGGTCTGATTTAACTCCAACTGATTCCTATTATGTTATGATTATGATCCAAATCACTTTACTGCAGTTACCATGCGATGTGATATTTTTCACTTCGTTTATGATGCGATATGTTTGACATTGCTATCACCCAATATGCTATAATGCAATGCAGAGAATACATACTAACGTGTTTGGCAGGTACAGACAGGTGACTTTTAGTTTTGTGTCACATCTGTGTCTTCTTTTATTACACCTGGCATCTTGAATGGCGAGGAATAGAAGAAGTGGATCACTTTGTGTTCACGCCACAGCTTTGCGCCCACTATAGCACCAGAGTATCATCGAGTCTTATACCCCCCTTGTTTCTTCATGAAAGCAAAATGAAGCCAAACTCTTCAGGACATGTAGCTTCATGTCTCCATGGCGTTTATCAGTTTACGCTCCTAAAAGTGCCACATTTGGTGGAGACTTGCTTGAGTTTTGAGACCCCCCCCCCCACCCCTTCCTCTGTTCTGTGTCACATCTGTTATTTGTGTTTTAGCTGTGCTACATTGTTGATTAGTGTGCCCCCCCTACCCACCACCCTCGTGTGTGTGTGTTCACATGTTGTGAACGCCCCTGTGTGCCTCTTACCTTATTTCAGTTGTACGCATCACAGCAGCAGCTACCACCACTAGCACAAGCACTCTTTCCTCTTCCACAGGTAAGGCCACAGTCGCTCGGCATTATTGTCTGCCTCACTGCGTATAGCTGCAACACAACAGAGTAGAACTCACTTGAAATGCGCATGCTTAGTATTTTGGAGTGTTGAAGGATTGGTGTCGTATTCAGTAGCAGTAGGAGGAGCACTCTTAAGAATAGGACACACTTTATAATTGCATTGGATTGAACTGTTTAGAAGCTAGAAATAATTTAAAAAGGAGGTTTTATCATCGAGTCTTCAGTAAAAGACACAAAAAACAAAAAAAACAGTTTTCTTTCAGAATAACAGCAACACTCATCTCCACATTCAAAACCTTAGGAAGAGTGATCTTTCGTTTTAGTCATAAATAGTTTATTTGTAACTTTACACAGCTAGAAAAGCTGTATAGTATGTGAATCAAATTATTAATAGTAGTGGCACCTTCCTTTCTGACTATGCGCACCTTTTTTGGGGGAGTAAGAGGGGGGCTGCGTCAAATGGCATTATTTAGGATATTCTGCGGGCCACTGAAAAATGGATGACGGGCTGCAAATGGCCCCCAGGACATAGTTTGGACACCACCATATTAGACTTTTGATCCGCAAAGTGTGCTATGAGTACCACTTGCGGTACACAGGCTCCTTCTTGAGGTATGTGAAAGACTCACTGACGAAGTACATTCAGTTGTCTTTCACTTCAATACATTTGCATTGAATCATTCAGAACTGTTTGTTTTTAAACATTTCTTTTGGTCCGCTTTTTTTTTTTTAACTTTATCAAACTTTTACATGCAATACATTTTAATTAAATCATTATCTATGTAAGTTCAATTTTTCATTTTCCTACTGCTCAAATTGCATAATGTTGCAGTGGTCAACCTTCATCTTAAAGAGACTTTATTAGGAATAAAACCTCATTTTTGATGATCACCAACGAGTACGATGTCACTGTATTTTAATGATGGCCATTGCTGTGGTACTTGGAGAGCTAGTTATTCTTTATTTATTTTTTTTTGATGGTACTTGGTGTAAAAAACTTGGAAAACCACATTGACTCACCCACCAGAACCAAAAAAAAAAAAAAAACCCAAAACACTTGGATGTTCTTGCAGGGCAACCACGGTTTTATAGTGGTTGGCAAGTCTGCCTCGCAGTTTTAAGATATGTGTTTGAATCTCAACTCTGAGATACACAACTTGACGTATGAGGATTGCAATTAGTACAAAGGCATGATGGCACGCAGGCCAGTTTAAAAAAAAAACACACACAAATTGCATGCTTCTAACATGACTGTTAGGAAGCAGCTGATGCTTGAAATGTTCAACCCAAGTCGCCTGACCACCATTAGGGCACCTCTCTGGTGCTTCCTCTCATTAGTTGGGCTAAAGCATTTCTGACATTTCCAGACCCCTGAGTGGAAAATGTGTTCCGGGTTGCTGTTTCTTGCCAAGTGTCACTTAAATGAAATTACACAGGGGTGTTGTGCTACTGACCGCCATCACACTTTTACGCAGATGCTCAGCCCTCAAATCTTTCCCTAATGTAGTGAATGTGTTTGAATGTGTGTGTGTGCGTGTGTGTGCGCGCGCCGCGCCTGTGTGGCCTGCTAGGAGGAGTTATTCAATTAACCTTAGACTCCCACTGATAATTGTACTCATGTGGTTTTTCCCAGTCCAAGCCGCAACTGCTATCCCACCAAAGAAAATCAGGAAAGGTTTGTACAGTATGTCACTCTGGTGCTCAAGGGTCCACTCTCCGCTCTGTGTCTCTGGCTCTCCAGACGAATGAACGCCACCATTCCCAGCATGCATCGGCACACTTTACCTCACCTGCACTTCCAAGTGTTCGCAAATCCTTTTTCCTTTCGTGGTTGCCAGGTTTAGACAAAAAACTTCAATCTATAGACCTTTTTATGATGTTTGTAAACAATAGGCACCAGGGTACGTCCGGGTGGCAGAAAATGACAAACGCTTATCTGAACTGAAAGGATGACCAAAACTTTTTGGATTTACTTAAAAAAAAAAAAAATCGAAAATCCACTCGAAAATATAATGGAACCTGTGGGTTGAGCAGGATCAATCCAGTGAATGTTAATCCTACTGTAGTTGCAGAGAAGAGATCAGGACTACTTTAGTGGGCTCAATGTTCATGTTTAGCATCGCTGGATTTCTGCACCGCCTGTCAAAATTTAAGGAATCAACAGTCATGGCGGATGTTTATTCAGTTGTTTAATTTTGTAGAAAAAAAGGCAAATCACAGACATGGCAACAAACTAAAGTCATTTCAAATGGCAATTTTGGGGTTTTAGGATACATTAGAGAGGGAGATTAACAATAATCTTCATCAATGAGGCTCCAACAGATCATCTTTGCAGGTTGGAGCCTTGTCATGCTCGATTTTGTTTCATTCAATCATGTTGGAGCCATGATTCATGTCAGTTGACTTGGTGCAACAGCTCTCCAAGGTGTGAGGATTCATGTTTAGCTGTGGACCAATTGGCAGATCTAATCTGATGCAGGGCTCGGTTTTGGGAATGGAAATTTACAGGGTGATTCCATAATTTTTTTTCATTCTGCTTGATCTAAAAACTTAACTGTTACTACCATTTTTTTTCATGTTTCATAAAGCCAGAGAGCTGCCATTTGAAATGACTTTAGTTTTGTCTGTGAGACCCCCCCGCCCCCAACAACTGAATGAACATCCTCTAAGACTAGTGATTCCATAATTTTTGCGAAGGGTTGTATATATAGATTTTGTTCTCAACTGACCTGTTGAAATGTGAATTGCAGCCACCTCTGCCTTCCAAGCAAGTTACAGTACCTCGCGTAACATCTTTTCGACTGACACAGCAACTAAAATCATCATTCAAACTTGTGACCCGGTCTTGGTTGGTCAAATCGCGGTGCAATCAGCTTTTGCCACCCGGAAGTAGGTGTGACGTCATTGTGAAAAGGTCTTTTCAGACACAACGTCCCTCCACGCCGCGGCATGCTGCACAGTCGACCTCATCTCACCTTGCACCTGACCCCACGCCCACCTAATTTTCCATCATTGCTGACCTTGTTCTTGTGCATTTTTTCCACCAGAGAGCAATGGCGTAATCATTGCAGTCATCATCATCTGCATCCTGCTGCTGGCTATCTTGGGAAGCGTGCTGTACTTCCTCTACAAGAAAGGAAAGATCTGCGGCCGCTCCGGCAAGCAGGACCTGTAAGTGCACATTAAGATTAGTCAACACGGTTTTTGATTTCTTCTCCAGGGTGAACCTCTGTTTTTGTTGGGGTTTTTTTTGTATTTCTGCTTATCTATTTTAAGATTACACAGTGCATATTTAAAACAACATTCATTTTTTTTTTTTGCCTTAGGAAAATGCACTTAGCTTAATGCCAACAGACAATGCAAAATGCCATAGACATGTTGATGGCAAGCTTTGATAGTTGCAGTTGTATCGAGGAAACGAATAGTTAAACACAAACGGTGGGGTAACACATGTAGAAAGATAATATAACAATATTCACAGGTATATATTCTTTAGCCTCTGTGAAAAATGACAAATGTTACAGCATTCTTACAGAGTCACTTGGAGGAGTAGTAGAAGTTACCTTTGTTTCTGTCAGCATGAGTGTATAATACTGCCTCCTGGTGGCCAAGGCGGGCACGCCAGAATGGGCAGCACAATGAAATAGGATTGCAGCATTTAGTCATGATGCACAAAATGTTGAAAGAGGTCCTAACTTTTCTAGACACCATATGTTTTTATGCGCACCCACTGTGCCACTATCTCAACATTTTAGATGTCTTCCTCTTCCAACACATCTGATTGAAATGATCAGGATCATTGTCAGGCTTCTGCAGAGCTTGCTGATGAGCTGATCATTTGAATTAGGCGCGTTGGAGGACGGAAACATCAACAACATGCAGGATAGCGGCCCTCAAGGACCGGAGTTTGACCCCTGCGGAGTAAACTAAGCGTGTGCACGGATGAAAGATGACTGGAGCAATTGCAAGTGTGACTAGTGACCGATGTTCCAACTGTCCTTGTACAATATTATAGAGTGCTATTTTGCCTCATTAAAAAAAGAAAGAAAAAGCATTTTGGGTTCTTGAGTGACTTTTTGTGCAACATTTTGTGTAATGTAGCACCAAAGAGAAATCCAGCAAAGACAACATTGTGGTTGAAATGAAGAGCGACAACACAGAGGACGCGGTCCTCCTCGGCGTCAACGGAGAGAAGCTACTCCGCAGTCCCCAGGTAGACATCCGCCCCACTAAACCCTCACCAAAGACTTCCTGTTCTCCATTGACTCACCATTCCTCTCCATCTTTTTCATCTTTGCTCGTGTGTTTCTCCTGTGGAGTAACCAACAGTGAGGAGGAAGCCACTGCTGTGACCCGACAACACTCCGAGACCCATTGATTGGCTTCCACCGCAGCCTCTTTTTCCTGTCAATCAAAAGCTGTCTGAGACCGCCAAAATATCACACTGGGCTTGATTACTTCCCTACACATGTTTGTTGGAGGGCAACAATGTTTGAATGAGGCTGTTAGGCTGTCAGTTTTGTATGTTGCTGAATCACCGTTGAGCAGGGACTATTTTTTTAAATTGCCGAACAATCACTGTAGAGCCACGTGAAGAAGTTCTTCCTCCAGTGTACATACTATGCCATCCGTGTATATATTTGCTTATTTAAAGTGTATTCACACTCGATTTTATGAAGAGCAGAGACATCCGTTCTGCAAAAGTCCGTACACTGAAAATCTTTGCGTACACGTCACAACTTTCCTTCGAGACAATTCAAACATATTGTTGCCTTTTTCGCGCTTCAATCAAAACTTGGTCATTTAAATCAGCATCTTTGAATCTCTGTCGCTAACATTTCACAGTTCCACTGTAAATGATATATTTTTGGAAAACTATTATAAATTATTGTAGATTTCACAGCATAGGATTAACATCTTGCTTTAGTTTTTGTTCCTTCACATAATGAGTATTGCACGTGTGTGTGTTCAAGCTTTACAAATAGTAAAATATTATGCCAAAGAGATTACAGATTTCTTTGTGGTCGTCATGCAGTCCTCTTTTGTTTCTCTAATGTGAAACTTTATTTTTGCGACGTGAAAATGAAGGCTTACATGGTGACTGCATTAAGTCGTCCTCTCTGTGAGGAACAGTGTATTAAATAGTAAACGTGTGTTAAATGAATATTTTTTGTTGGATAAGCCAAAGTGATACAGATTCTTCCCCGAGGTTTACACGTGAAGCCTTCTATTCAGTTCGGGTCTTACCCTGTATCTTCAAACAGGGAATTAAAAAAAAACAAAAACAAAAAAAAAAAAAATATATATATATATATATATGGATGGCTCTTTCACGACATTTCCTTGGTTGCCAATAGGGAAAATTCATGTTGAGTGAGTTGATTTTGTTGGTTGTACTGTAACTACTACCCACAGCCGATATTAATTTGCACTTCTTTAGATCGCAAACTAGTTGGCAGCCAAGTAGTGCACTCAAGGCGCGATTGATTCCAATCCATTCATTGTGTGAGTGAGACAATGTGATTGCACTACTGAGCAGGATAAACAACTCATTCTGTCCACATTAAAAAAAAAAAAAAAAATTAAGACAAGAGCTGAATGATTTGTTCCAAAATAAACATGTGTGCAACACAATCGGCATTTATGCATTGATTTGTGAAAATATTGCATCAATAATGACTTGCTGTGATTTTGATTTGTTCAGATGTTTTGTGCCTTGTGGCATTTTGACATCATCCGTGAAATCGATGACGATTACTACTTGTGCAGTCCTGTTGATGAAAGTTATTTTGTGTCACCAGTTTTTTTTCAATTAGTTGGGAAACAATTTTGAAAAAAAAATTAAATCTTTTTCACTACATTTTTATGTCGATTCAAACTAAAATTGTCATGCTGATTCTAAAATTGCTGTCAGTTTTTATTCTAGCACGTCAAGATTTTTCTTCACATTTCACCAGATAAGCCAAATGCCACTGATGAGCTGTACTAAGACTCACCAACTTATTATGATCGGACTTCTCTACAACTACGGCTCACATTGTTTGTGTAGTCACAATTGAGAGAGTGCGGTGAGAGGTGGTTAGTGCAATCAATATCTGAAAACAGAGCAGGCATAGTCAGAATTAAGAGGATTAGTGCTGGCTATTTAAACCTTGTAATCAGAACATACCGCTGTAAATTCTATTTTATGCTGTTTTTTTTGTTCGTTTTCAAAGCTAGTAACTCTTCCCCTTCTTAGTGTTTTATTTACATACACCCACATCTGTTTATTTATTTAAAATGGGGGATCCTACAGCTCAGAAACTTGATGTGCGACAGAAAAACTGACATCAGTTTTGGTTTCCGCACCCAAAAAGTAAAAAGAAAAAAAAAAAGCTGTCAGACCTAAAATTGTGTTCCCGAATGTTATGTTTGCCCTTTAAATCCCCTTGACACATTAAATGTAAAGGGATGCCTTTTGAAGTCATTTTTTAAAAATTCTATTGAATTAAAAAAAAAAAAATTCAGAAAAGAGTGATCATTGTTTTAAATTATTTTCTATTACTGTTTGAGCTTTCCATGACAATCCACAGAGCAGGCGGGGTTACAGGTTATTCGTGAACTGTAAGGATGGTGTATGCAGTTTGGAAGGCGAGAGCTAACTAGCGCTGTAAATGTTTGTCTAAATTCCAGCCTTTGACCTTAATGAAAGCAAATGCGACAAAAATGGATGGATGGAATTCAGGTATCATAATACTTTTTTGTCAACACAGTCATCTAATTAAGCATATTGACATTAGACAAGAAATACCTAGAGCAGAAAAAAATATAAATTCAGTAGATAAACTAAACAATACAATCAGAAAATGTCTCCTGCGTTCAATTTTATTGACAGCACTGTGCAATCTTCCAAATTGATCGGAGGTAAAAACAAGGGTAAACTTAATGCAGTTTTTTTTTTTAATGACTGTTGAGGAGAATATGTGGAACCACAGCTCCCTCTTGTGGCCCCATCCCCAATAAAGCACTCACGACATTGCTCTTACATGCGCAGAGAAAACAGCCATCCGGGGTGTGCTTTCCTTCTTTTTTGGAGGGCTAAGAAGAAAGGTAAACAGCAGGTGCTCTTGGATGAAGTCTCACTCTCACACACACACACACACCTGAACACACAGGCACCTACCTACAGTTACTTGCACACACACGACTACACGCAAACACCTACACACAATACCCTTCGCGCCCTACATACTGTAGCTACGTCCGTACAGATGTCGACACAAAACAAAGCTGGGCGCGCGCACGCACGCGCACACACACACCTGCATGCACATTGCATAGACACCTGCACTCACCCACCCCAGGCTACAAACAGGCCTGCCTGACTTCTTCTCTTTTTTCTCTCACACACACGCGCACACACACACACACACACACACACACACACACACACACACACACACACACACACACACACGCGCCGACATTCACTCCGACATGCAGAGAGGCCGGCGTGCACAAAGACCCCCCCTTCCCCCCCCCACAACAAAAGGTCTCAGTTAATCTTGATCTCAACACAAATGGCACTGCTTTTGAGAATTATTCAGAGCAATACACAAAACAATGTCTGTAGGGCGGGGGCAGCAACTTAATACAGGAATGTAAAAATGACAGCAAACAGCATTCTTGTCTTTTGTATGACTGCAAGCGCCTTTAGAGTGACAGTATCAAAGCACAATTTGGCTGTTACCGTGTGAGTAAATTATTTCACAATGACACACTAATGAAGACCCCATTAAGTCATTACTCACACGCATTCGAGAAGTTGGTCAAGGCAACTAGGAACACAAAATCAGAAATGAGGATCGACTGGACAGCTTAAAGCAGAACAAGCTTATTCAGAATTGTACCAGCATCAGAGACACATTCTTCATATATATATAGAACTTTGAGTGTTGCATCAATGTAACTCAAAGCTCGATGTGGGTGTTCATTCAGAGTACCTGGAAGCTGCTGTCTACAGAGGTCTGGTGACCTTGAAAAATACTGTGCCAGTCAGAATAACGGAAAGGAACTCCCCCCCCCTCCCCCCCAAAAAAGGCAACGAAACTTCATTGATTCCGACTCAGCCGAGTCTAAAAACGTTTTTCCTGAGTTAGTTTTGTGAATAGGCCCTACTGCTGCTGACGTTCAACAAAGTCGCAAGCCTACTACCTGTTACATCCTCAGCTCTTCCCTTGCTATGGGGTGTAACCCTGGAGCTTAAAGCCCAATTCCGTGTTGCATTTTGCTAACTGTTGCGATAATGACCTGATGGAAACGACCCCCCCCAAAAGAGAAAGAGAGAGAGAGAAAGAGAGAGAGAGAGAGAGAGAGAAAGAGAGAGTTTGAACACTGCAGAGTGGACAGCTCTCAAGCTGCTTGTACGTTCAAGTTTGCTACATTAGCAACTGCAGAAAAATGGCGATACTGTCACTTTAAAGGACGATTACAGATGAAAGAATATTAAAAATCTACATTTAAGGCTTAATTTGTTGAACACTATTGTAATATTAGCAGCAGTGAAGCACTTCTGAATTAATTACAACAATATTTAAGATCACATTACAATAATATATTACCAAAAAGAAACCAATGACAATATTTTTCTTTGTAATCATAACACCGCACTGAGCTGGAGACCGGAACCTGAACCAGCCAGACGATGATGTAAAAAACAAAAAAAGTCAGCCGCCTCGGATCGCAGAACAAGAGCTCGTCTGGTACTGCGCGGTGGTCAACTTTAAAACATCCACATTCATTTCAGGCGCGCACACGCAAGTCAGGAACAGCGCCAGGAGTTTTTCTCTCTCTGGGCTCAAGGGCGGCTAGACCGATAAATAGACAGCTGATTTAGAATTTATAAATATCTATTTTAGAACACCAAATAAAATTCTTGGCGGGTCTTAACTGGGGGCTACACAGATTTCTGACGGGGCAAAAGGCCGTTCTAGCCCCGGTGTAGCGCCATCCCTTGCGTCACGTCCTCCGCAACATTAGCTGGAATCAACAACATGATAAATTTTAGTACCAAAGCCATGTTGTTCAAAAAAATAAGAGCTCTGTGGCATTTGTCTAGACAGCCGGAATTCCACGTTGATGCATATTTATAGAATATTTCGTTAATGTGTATGTTTAAGGTTGAAATGGCAGAAGAAAGTGGCCAAAGACTTCGGAGTTAAGACACACAGAGAACTTAATTTTCATTTTACATTTTGAATTGAGTCATACCTGTGAACGTTTGAAAGAAACTAATTTGCACCATTCAAAAAGATCCTGGTAACCGCAATGAGCTAATTCTAGATCAGGGGTGTCCAACTCTTTTTTTTTGTCACGGTTCACATTGTAGTTACAGATTCCCATAGAGGGCCATTCGGACTGTGAAACCTTAAAGCAGTAAATGTTTTATCACCTCCTCATACTATTACATAATAGTACACGACCAACAAATTACTGGATAACTAGGATTGAAATCAGTCGACAAGAATAATAGATATGACATTGTTGTTCAAGTTACTGTGGTAACAGGTTTGGTGACAAGAAAATGCTTGTAATACCTCACCGCTATTTATTACAAAAGACGATTTCAAATTACGGTCCAGATTTGAGCAAGCATCATGGAAACTGACGTACTTGATTTGATTTTGAAGGTCACATGAAATGATGTGGCCGGCCAGATCTGGGCGTCGGGCCATGAGTTTGACACCCGTTGTCAAGATCATTGCAATTACCGGGATCTTGGGCTCCCTTAGAGGTACGCAAGTAAAACACTAAGTATGACTGTATTTAACTAAAGTTCAATATTCCTGCATTTCATTTTGGACAACTGTTTGTTTTCAAACACTTGTTGCGTAATTTCCAACTTCCTTCTGTCATTTTCATTCGAAAAAAACAATCACAAATTAAATTTGGTCATGGTATGGAAAAGATTTGGAGAAACTATTCACACTCAAACATGCATACTAAGCACATACGCACGCACACAGACACACTCGCACAAACGCAGTGGTGCCATTCTGAGTCATCTTCAAGTCAACGCTCGAATCGCTGTTTTGACAAGAGGCACACTTGGCGCTTAAACCAAGAGCGACCCTCAAAGGGGACATCGTTTCACATACTGACTTGTATATATTACATACATTTAATATACATTTAACCATATATTAAACTTTGATATAGACATACATTTTCTTCGTGAGGTCTTGGTTACATTTTTGGCGAGGCTTCCGAAAGGCGTCCTGTTTTGGACTTCGCGACTCGGGCCTGGCAAGATGCTCTTGTCGCAGTTTGAGAAGGCTGCTGAAAGAGATGCTGCGAGCGCCAGCCAAATTCAAAATTCCACAACGGGCCGAAATAGGGCGGGGGTGTCTACAGCACCAGAGAGGGTCACGCTGCAGGCAACGAGCCGTGCCGACCTTAAAAAAAAAAAAAAGATCAAGCAGAGCCAGGGCGAGATGGCCAAGTGCGCTATGTGAAAATGTGCGCCGTGGAGGGAATAGAGACGAACTCTCTCAGAATGTTCTTGGCCATCTCGATATTGTTCTGTGCAATCAGCAGTGCTTTCTGGATGTCCTGGTACGAATATCCCTGACTCATGAGATGCTCGATTTCGCTGCTAATCTGAGGGTTGACGTCTCCTCCAGATGCCCCGCAACTGGGAGGGCCAGGGACTGGCGGGACGGGGCTGGGTCGACGCTCTGAATTGATGCGTCTTGGGAGAGGCTTGGGAGGTCTCTCTGGGGCTTCCGCGGACTCTGACATGCCTGAAGGAACAAGATATAGACAGCGAAGCTAAGTACTCTCAGACAAAACAATTTGATTTTTAGGCAAGGAAACGGCATCAAACGTGACGGAAGTGGACAGTTGCAAACTGATTCAAAAACTAGATGAGAACATTTCTTTCTGAACAGCGCACACTGCAAATTTACGATGAAGCAAGAATAGCTAAAAGCTAAGTAGGTATTTTACTGCAGTCGAGCCCAAGAACAACTCAGCCAGCCTTCATTTATAAACAGATGCAATTATACAGAAATGGGAAATGATAAAGAAAAATAAGACATCTACCAAAAGCTACGAGGTCATTATAGTTAATGAAAACAAACAAGAGAAGTGAAAGTTAAATTGAAAAAATAAAATATTAAAAATGCTCGGTCTACAAATCGTTAGCTCGCCATTTCCTCACATTTTTGTGATGACTTCGAGGCCATGTGAGCCACCACTAACGTGTATCATAAACAATTGCTGGATTCATTGTGGTGGTCTGTGCCTGCGGTTTTCAGTTTTTGCAATTGACAACTGAATTTTCTCTGATGTGCTCGAGGCAAAAAAAAAAAAAAAAAACCTCACTTACTCATAGATGACAATGAGTCAAATGCATTCCCGACAGGACTACATGAGTAAACTCAAGAAAGCTTACAAGCTACTGCTGAGGATGAGCTCGACGAGGAGGATGAAGTTGATGAGGAGGACCCTCCCAGTTCCGAAAAGGTCCGTCGGATCGGGGGCATCGGCAATCGTGGGTGAGGGAAATCATATCCGTTATCCTCATCCTCCCTATCCTCTGCTGTGTGCTCCCTGGGGCCGTTGGTCATGGGCAGAGGGGGGAGTTCTGAATAATCTGGAGAAGTGGATACGGGAAGAATGCATCAGAATACAATAGAGGTGATTTACTTGTGTTTATTTTTGTAGCATAAGAACCTGAATCACTGGCTTCCTGCGATCGAGCCTGGATGTTGTACATGGCCTCATACATTGGAAGGCCGTCCTCCAGTTCCGTTAGTGTCGGCCTGCGAAAAGAGACCGTCATATCTGAGCAACGTTGTCACAAAAAAGCATTCAGAATCATCACCACCAAGTTGCCGTGATGTACCGTGGGTTGAAAGCAATGGTTTGAGCCTGCGCCTGAATAGCAAGGACACAGTGAGGTTGCGAGGACCTCGACACCGGGGGGCTCTCTCCCATAGGTGGCGATGCGACGGCGGGCAGGATGGGCCGAGAGGAGGGGATCATGTACTCTGACTCCTCCTCACTGTCACGGGACTCCTCGCCTGTCGCTGACCTCACAGCTGAAGAGGGTCTGGGAGATAACAAAATCCAAATGATCATTTTTCAATCATTTATCCAATTTACCATATTTGTCATATGGATGATAATCTGTCAATGACACAGCTGACATCAACAACCATTCACGTTTATGACTATCAATTCACCCAAAACATTTTTCGACTGCCAAATGAAATTTAACCCAGAAGCGTCTTGCCGTGAGACAAAAATGCAAACTACCGTTTCACTGTGCTCCTCACTAATTTCATCAACTTACATTCTGAAAGAAAACAATGCGAATAGATACCTGCTTGCCAGTGCGTAGATGGCATTGGCAGAAGATGATGGTTTGACTTTGGGGTTGTTATAATCGTGTCCAACCACTGAGACAAAGTTCTGAATTGGAAATAGAAGAATCTCAGAAACACGAACAAAAACAATAAAGTGCAGTGAGTTAAAACAAACGATAACGTTCACATGGTTAGGGCTACGGCTTAGAGATGGGAAAATGAAGCTTCAAATTTGCTTCGCCACTGTTCGCTGCCACGAACAACTTTAAAAGCCTACTAAGCCATTGATGTCCATTTCTTCTTTGGTAAGCTAAGGTTTATTTTGAAGTTGGCCTTCTCACATAAATGGCTACTCGAGGCAGGGCATTACTTTTTAATCGAGGTACTCTAATTACTCAAGCACTCGTTTCACTCATAAATGCAACACAAGTGTGCATCTATCAGTCAACCCTGCATGATATTTTCAAATTACAAGACAGCCCGAAAGTGTGGGTGTGGTATTTTGTGTTTGTGCTCACCAGCTGTTGGTCCAAACTGAGAGAGTTATTGTTCTTCTGCGGGTCTGTGCGTGTGTCTAGAGCAGAGGGCAACGCCAAAGGGAGGGAGTGTCGGTTGGAGAGCTCCCTGACACCCGCACGCATGTCCACACCCAGAACGGAGACTTGACTGGTTGAGGATGAAGACGAGGATGTCGGGGCTTTGGGAACAGGCCGGGAGTTCCAGTCAGTGGGCGGTCGGAATGGGGGTGCTGGAGGCAGTTTATCTCTGGGAGCCTCGCCGGGCGTGCAGGGTAGGGGCCGTCTCGGCAAGCGCCCCTCCGAGGACGAGGCGGATGCGTGGGGGCGGTCTGGAGGCGGTGGAGGTGGGAGATCCCTCAGCGCTGGGGGGAGAGGAAGGGGCTTGTCTTTGTGATGAGACGCTGCCTGGAGAGGACAGTGACATAGAAATACCTCACGAGGGCTGCTTGTTGTTTTGATGTAATAATACAAACAGTATGAGCTCTTTCCTCCGCGATACGAGGGTGTATCTGGTACCATTATACACCCGTCAAAAACCCATGCTTTTAAATCATAATGAACTGGCAACACACAGTAATGGATGAATACAACGCCTGCCCTCATTTTCTCATTCATAGATAAGATGAATGCACTTAAAGGGTACCTCTGGTTGTCAGATGAAAATATAAATAGGGTTTATCAAGAACAACTGCATCCAAACGAATGTTGGTTCCACAGGTTGTATGAAAGCAAGCTTATCACAGGCTTTGGGGACCGATCTGTGCAAGACACCATGGCAGCTAACACACTCAGACATTCTTGCCCCTTGGCTTGCTGGAAGCGGAGCCATGACGTGACTGTTGTTCAAAAGTGAACCTTGATCGATATTCGCTGCCGCAGGGAGTACCTGCTCGCACAGGATTTTGGACGATGAAAAAGCGATCATGGAGAATTGCAAAGCATATGTAGATGTCTTAATAACAAGGATAAGCACTACTTTTGCATGCCTAAACCTGTTCATCCAGAAGGTAAATTGGTCGTGGAATGTTGGCTGCATAACTCGTATCACTCAATAGCACTTTCTGGGTGGCCCAATCAACAACCCGACGCCACATGTGGCGCCTTGCATTAAAATGAACCAGGGGGATTGCAGGCGTGCTGTTTTGGCGAATACAAGACTACACAAGGAGGGCAACATAAGATATTAAACAGACTTGACAACGCGGCTCCATTTCCCCATCAATACCTTGGATTGGGCCGTCGTAGGTACACTTAAGAGTACTATGCTAAACAACGTGGTATTATTGTAAATGCAATTTTCTTGATATTTCTTGTGATTTCATTTTTGTATATGAAAAAAAATCATAATAAGTACATATAAAATATTCATAACCAGAGACATTTTCAGCATTCAACAGATTTAAATTATGGCTTGATGAATATGTACACAGTGGAATTATTACACAGTAAGCCTTAATTTGCATATTTTGATTCAGATTAAGAGCCAACAAAAATAAAACAGACGTTTCTGTAAAATGCAATACATCAGGCTAAAGCCCCTTCAAATGAAGGTTACGTTTACTTTCATATTTGCAGACTTTATAGTAGTAGCAGCCATGAGCAGGTTAGGGTGGCTTACTGCAAATGTCGAAAATAGTGTAAACTGTGCATTGCTGTGTGGTCAAACTATGCCACACAGCAGCAGGATGCGGCCACTTCCTCTTAACAACACTGTAGTCATTGGTTGACTCAGAGCTGTGAAAATAGTCATCCGAAAGCACAGTATGGGCCATTTCCTGAAAGCTTATTATCTGTACGAGCCATATTTAGAAGTGTCACTGGTATAAATCAGTCCCTCTGCAAGTCGACTGCCTTGATTAAGCAAAATGAATAGATAACAAAATGGGAGAAAGTCTGTGAATGTTCTGAACTCCTTCTCCACACCTGCACTGACTGTATGGAGCAGAACAATACGAACCGGAGAAGTTACTCGAGTATGAATGTAGCATACCTAGCCAAAGCTGACATCATGTTAATAATTAATAATAGTTCATTGTCATCAAAAGAAAAGTTCATTCCTATATAATTGTCATGATTTACTGACCTTTGCAGTGACTCCTGGACTGGAGGCACCAGGTGGGTTAGGGGGTCTGTGTGGAAGCAAGTCTAGTCTGGGTGGCACGGGTGGAAGGGATGACTGAGGAGTCACGGACATGGGGGACGGGGGACGCTCCACCTGCATCATGCACACAAAACAACTTTAATGACACCATCAGTAAAACAAGTCAAGTTTACTCAAACTGACTAAACTACACAACTTCCTCAAACCAGCTGACATACCAGAAAAGTCATTTTTGAAACTATTCTTTCTAATTAATCATGGCTATGTGGATGTCAACAGACATGAAATAACTGCTTCATTAGAGGGAGAAAAAAATGAATGAAATGTGTTGGGAAAATGTGTGTGTGTGTGTATATATATATATATATATATATATATATATATA